ACATATATTGTTGCTAGAGTCATTGGTTGAATAGCAAAAAGAAATCAGAATCAGCCTTTGGGAAATACTGAGAAAAGTGAATCATTATCCTACTTTCTCATTTTTATCTGGGGAGGGGCGCAGTACAGTGAAGAAGGCTGTGATTTATTCTTACCACTTTTCACAAGAGGTAATTTCAGAGCCGCAGGTTTTCCTTTTTCCTCTCTTTCTAAATGGATTTGAGCAAAGTATAGTAGTTTCACATAAATGCATGATTGGACATTTGTGATTTGACTCATGCTCTGGCCAAGTTTAGGTTCTTTTAAAGTCAAATGCCTAACACGTCATCTTTCACCATGAATAATAAATCATGAGTGACTCAAATTCTTTTACCACATATATTTAAACTTGAGCAATAAAAGAACAAATGAAGAGCATGTACACTGAGGTAGACGATGTGATTGAAAGCTATGATGTTGGCCAAATTCCCAAATTTCTATATCCAGAATTTCCTTCTTTAAGGTAAGGATAAGAGTGATACGTACCTTTGGGAGACATGTAAGCTGAGAGTGCACTAGGACCTGTAACTGTTTAAAAAAGTGCTTCCCCATCCTTTCTTATTATTTTCCTTTCCTATGTGTCAAACATTTATTGGGGAGCCTATTTCATGGATATTTAAGTACAAGTATATAATATTAAACAAAACACATGGAAGGTTTTTTTTAATAGTTATAATGATTATTATTATTGATATTTCAAGTTATTGTGTGAGATGTTTCATAAATTAACCAGTTACATTATTATTACACAGACCACCAAATCAATATGAGATATATCAAAAACTAGCCTCTTTATGCCAGTAATGACATGATCTATGTTTATTGACCTTCTTGTCCCCAGTGGCTTAGCACAGAACTTAGCACAAAACAGCAGCCTAATAAATGTTGATGGAATGAAGGCTGGGCTCATGAGACACGGCTACGTAGGATAACAAGCTTTGATTTGAAACTGTACCACACACACTTCAGTTCCAGTTTTAACCTTATACACCATGACCTTGAAAAGTCTCCTGGAAACTTTCTATTTTGAAATTAAGACTGCTATGTTTTAAAACCACTAGGGCCGAGTTTAACTGTGATTATGCAAAGTAACCCCAAACCACACACTATTTCTTATCTAGTTCTACTTGTCAATATGAGAAGAGTTTGGAAAATCTGAAGTGTTAGATGACAAAACAAAATACAGGAGAGCTTCCTTATACCTTGTATTTAATTTTCCTTTTTTTTTTTTGTCAGTCATGGGACCTGAACTCAGAGCCTGGGTACTGTCCCTTAGCTCTTCAGTTTAAGACTAATGCTCTGCCACTTGAACTACAGTACCACTTACAGCCTTTTCTGTTTATGTGGTGCTGAGGAATCGAACTCAGGGCCTCATGCATGAGAGGCAAACACTCTACCACTGAGCTACCCTCCCAGCTCCAGTTTTCCTTATTTTTAACGTTTTACATGACCACAGTTCATCTGTCAAGACTCATGAATCAATACTGACAAATTGTTAGCAAAAACCTCTTCTTCATTTACATTTCTTATGTTTCTGACAAATTTACTTCTATCACCACAGGAGCCCATCCAAGATCCTACTTTTCAGTTAGATGTTAAACCTGCATAGGCTCTCCCACACAGAGACAGTTTTTTTAGCCGTTCCTTGTTCTGACGGCATTGGCAGTGTTGAGGGTACTTGCCAGGAATTGGGTGGAGTGACCTTAACTTGAGGTTTCTTTTGTGCTTTCTACGACTGGTCAGGTATTATGATTTGAAGAAGAAAGACCACACAGGAATCCTTATCATATTACCTGATGCTGCCAGGTACATCCATTGATCCTTCTATTTTAATGAGTAAATAAGAATGATTTATAGTAATTGTGTAATTAGTGATTTAATGTAACCCATTAAGGAAAGCCTCTTTGCCCTTTTGCAAATTTCTATGTCATTTTGCGTGCAATGTATAAAATAGTTGATTCTCTTGGGATAGGCATATGCTAAAATGTGTTTACCTTAACTCCTTGACTTGAAAAGAAGGACCTTTCATCACAGATAAAACGCTGATAAGTGAAAGTCCACATCCTGTTCCAAGTTAATTCAAATCCTACCTTTAAAGAATCATTATCCACAGATTCAAGTTAAAATTTAAAAAAAGTATATAGCTTTATATTCTTTCAAGTTCATTCCAATCTCAGAAAATAATATGTATGCTCAACTATGTGGTCAAAATAGGACAAGAAATAGAAGTAGAAGAAGTTAAGCCTTTGAATATTAATTCTCCTAAGCCTGTTTCAAGTAAGGAACTTGCCTAAAGAGATGTTAATGCTTTACTAAGTCCTATGCATAAATAATCTGGTGTCTCTAGTCTTAGTGATTTTGGTGTAAATGTGTACTCTCCTGTGGGATTAGAAGATATACCAATGTAGCTATTACAAGGATTGGAAACACCATTTTTTTTTACTCTTGTTTCCCAATTTCAATGTAGAGAAGTTATTGTGGGATTAATATGATCTATGTCATGGACCATTTTCAGATCAAGACATAAAAGAAATATGTCAGTCCAGAGAAGAAGTTATTGAAAGATAAGGATTACTACAAAAATTGTTACCATGGTGAATTTCCCTGAAATAAATACCCAGACTATCACATCTGGTTTCCCTGTGTGGCCACATTGGAAAATCCAATTTCTGTAAACATAGCTATCATTCCTCCACAAAGCTGCCTATAAGAACAATTTACTGACTTTACTACAGCTTAAGATCTTACTGTAGACAATCTTGGACAGGATTGTCTTGCACAGTATTTTTACCCCATTATCCAAGACATCTACATCTTATGAAGTAATTTGCTTTAGTTGACTTCATCCCACTGGTGTGATATTGGGGAATTTTTGTAATTTCTGGGATGTCCTGATTTTCATAGCTTCCTGTGAAGGTCAAGTTGTATTATTTGTATAAGTATATGAAATTCTTTCAAGTATAGAAAACATTTGGCAAATTGGGGATGAGTTAGTTACTCAGAGGTTCATGCTAGCAATCATTTCTTTTTATGAGGGGACAGTGAATGCAGTAAGATCATCTTGATTTTAGTAATGGGACCTTAGCAGGCAACTAAAAGCTAATCAGAAGCATCTCAGTGTCCAAAAGAACAAATGGAAAAAAATGGCATTAGGGTTATTTTTGTTTGTAAAGTTTATCCAGTGAGTCATTCATTTGCAGGTTGACATTTAAAAAAAAAAACAAACCACAGTAGTTGAGTGTTTTCCATTCCGCTGAACGAGACTGCCTTAATAATTTCAGTCACTAAAATAAGTGATTGTGTGAAGTGTCAAGCATAGGAAACAAGATCGGGAAGAGCCTTTTACAGACCAGCCCTTCACAAAAGTCTTCTTTTTTTTTTTATTGTGAAAATACCATACAGAGGGGTTACAATTACATGGACAAGATAATGAGTACATTTCTTATCAAGCCTTGTTGCCTCCTCCTTTGTTTCTCCTTCCCATCTCTTCCCATTACCCCCACCCTGCCCCTTGTCCCTTGACATTAACTAATGTTTTTGATTCCATATTTAAGAAAGTAGGAATAAACAACCTCAACCCGTGTCTTCATTCTTATGCTTGGAACAATGCAAATACACAAGTTCAAAGGCATTTTATACTGCTATCTCCCCTTGAAAGTATGAGGTTATAAGAAGTAAATGTGTTCAGAGACAATAGCACTGCAGGCAGGCTGCTGTCCCTTACGTATCGCCTTGTCCAACCTATTTATCATGAACTGCTTAGTGTGTCTTTGAAAAGTGACCACAGCAGCACATGGAATGACATGTGGAATGAGAGATCCCAGAGCAGCTGAAGCTGGAGATACAGCAGGGAGTGTTCAGACTAAGAGGATAAGAACCAGCTGACAGGCAGAATGAAGGAGAGCAGGTAAAGATGGGGTATTGACAGATGGAGAAACCAGTAGAAAGCTCACTTGCAAGTTATTGCTGGGCATGACACGCATTGCTAATATCACAGTGAGTGGCATTTTTAAGAGGACAGTCCTGTGTGCCCAAGTGACATTAGGACAGGGTAATTTCTCTTTGAAGGTTGATCTCTCCAGATTTAGTATCAGACTTCAGCGCCAAAAGGGTTGTTGGATTACAGCGCATCGACACTTTCATGGTCCTCAAACTTGTGAAACCATGTGACATTTAACATAGGATGATTAGTCTGTGAATTCTTTGCGAGTGAGGTGGATCATTTGATTGCTTCTACCACAACTTCCTGCATGTGGTCTGATGCAGACTGCCCACTTAAGAAATACAGCAGACTAGAATTCCTCTTGGTTTCATACTGATGAACTTTTCAAAGGAAGCTGAATTATGATTCTTTGTAAATAGAACAATGGTTTTCTCAGCTGCTGATCTAGGGAAAGCAATTTTGATATCAGAGTTTTGCTGATTAATAAAATAAAGCAATATAGGAGGACAACAGAAAAGTAATAGGACAAATGGGAAAAAAGCATGTTTATCCTCTTTTTAAATTTTTAAAAGGAAAATGTATGTATTGCAAACATTCTTCTATTCCGGCATTGTGTTAAGAGAAACTTATGACATGTTTATTTATCCCCAGAGAATATTTAGAACTTGCATCCATGTATATCTTGAAGAATCACCTGATGGTTTCCTCCAAAGCTTAAGTGAAATGTGGTCATCTGTGTACATTCCCTCATTAGATGACAGATGCAGTTAACAAGCAGTGATTTCTCGCTGCTCTTATCATTATTAACAGGGTGCCATGTTAGCCATCCGTTTCCAAACAAGGAAAGACAATGACCCTCTATCCTCCCCTTCCTCCTATGCTCTTTTGAATGCAGACAGTACCACAGGAACATCGGCGATATCAACGACGACAAGTGTGGAAATCCGCAAAAGCAGTGTTATGACAACTGAGATCACCTCTAAAGCAGAAAAAAGCCCCACGACAGCTAGCGGCAATAGCTCATGTCCTTCCACAGAGACGGAGGAGGAAAAGGCAAAACGACTGCTTTACTGCTCCTTATGCAAGGTCGCTGTCAACTCGGCCTCACAGCTGGAGGCGCACAACAGTGGTGAGAGGCACATGCTTTCATTCTGTCTCCACAGCCCTGCATCCATCTTCCTCTGAATAGATTAGAACTTGTGCAGCAGGACACAAGGGCTGGGGGGACAGTGGCACAATTATTAGATGGCATTCATTAGCCATTAAAACATAAATGTGACAAGCAAAGTGGCATTTATATGGGGGCAGGGGAGGGTTTCCAGAGCTTGTCGACTATGGTGTGTGCATGTGTACGTATGCACATGTGTGCATGTGTATGTGTTTTTGAAAACTAGGTGGAATAGCATATAATTCTAAGTTTTTATATATTAACCTGATTTCTGGATTGCTGTGCACATCTAGTATTTGCTTTTCTAAAGTCCTGTCATAAAGCATGGCCTGTACTTTTCCATGTACGTTCGGTTAAAACATCTATATTATGATTTCTATAGCAAATAATGCTGTTGTAGCCAACACTATGTAAAATAAATACTTAAGAGAGAATTTAGTATTTCTTATGCGAGGTCACTGAGTTATGAACTCTACATGTAAGTTTTTGTGTGCTCTTCCCACAACTTAAAAATAGTGTGTTTTGTTATAGGACCAATCAAGCACAAAAACAATAAAACAAAACCCCAATGTCTCTTACTTGAACTCTAAACTTTAAAACAGAAAAGTAAATAGAAGAATATTGAGAAACAAACACAAAATGCTCTTCCTTTATAATTTGGTCCTATCTAGTTTTCTGTTGTTGTCTCTGACTCTGTCTCCATTTTTTTTTCTTGGAGGTTTTTAAAAATTTTATTTTATTATCTTTAAGTAGTTGTACAAAGAAGTTCCCATTCTACAAAACAGTATATGAGTACAAGGTGCCTGACAACATTGTCATCCATCTCTCTTAACCCATCCCTTCTCTTACTTCTTTTTCTTCAATTGAGATTAGGTGATTACATAAAATTTCACATATTTCACAGTATTGTGGAATAGTGATACTCAGAGTCACAAACACATTTAAATTTTTACAAAGCATATTGTCATTACCATGGTCTATACAGTTTGTGAATTCTATGAGCTTTGACATTACAAGTTATTTTTTCCACATCAGGTGATGTTTACACTTTGCTTTTGCTTAGTGTGGGCTGTTCCCACTTCTGTCTCCACTTCTGTTTGCCCCTGCTTCTCTCTCTCTCTCTCTCTCTCTCTCTCTCTCTCTCTCTCTCTCTCTCTCTCTCTCTCTTTCTCTCTCTCTCTGTACTTCTCTTGGTTTCTCTTTCGGCATGTGTGTGGGAAGTGTGGGTGAGATTATGTGTACATACAAACATCAGCTTTTCTCTAAAACGTGAGTTGATTTCCAAGATCGACTTTTCATTTAAAGGACTGTTCTTTGCCAGGGTTATGTCAGCAGCTGTACCAGAAGTAGATTCATCTGTGAATCATGTCTGAAGTTAATACTGCAGCTGCATGTTGAGTCACTGACCGATTGTGCCTCATTCGTAATATCTGGGCATTGACTTTAAAACTCTGAGGGGTGACTGCAGATGGAGAACAATTCCTTTAGCATGTGTCTTCCTCCTACCAACATTAACTGCAGTCAGGCACAGTTCAGGAGTTCAGTTGCTGGGAAACCTAGAAACCTATCTGCCTTTCTATCAGAATCTGTACCATCCACATTTGCCATACATATACAAGTATAATGCAAATACAAGTATAATCATCATGAAGCCCACGTACTTCTTAAAAATCCTTTGACAGGAAAACACATTTATTTGGATGTAGGTATCAATTTGGCAGGTCAAATCTGTCCTTCAAAGTTAAAGTTTAAGAATTTTGGAGTCCTAGAATTCTTAGCAGAAACATTTGCTAAAGCAATGTGTTTTTCTGGCTGGCTTCACACTCACCATATAATAGAGGCTGGCCTCAAACTCACAATCTTACTTCCTCCATTCTCATTGTTGGGATTACAAGTACATACCACTATACCTGGCTCTTGTTTACATGTTTCTTGGTGGAAGTCCTGGGACTTGAACTTAGGGCCTGGGTGCTATCCCAGGGCTTTTATGCTCAAGGCTAGCTCTCTACCACTTGAACCACAGCCTCATTTCTGTCTTATTTGGTAGTTAATTAGAGATAAGGGTCTCACAGACTTTCCTGCCTGGGAAGGCTTTGAACCCTGATCCTCAGATCTCAGCCTCCTGAGTAGCTAGATTATAGGTGTGAGCCACCAGTGCCCTGCTTATTTTACATTTTTAAAATAAGCAGCACTGGGGTTCAAGTCATGAATCAAGCCCTCAGTGAGGTCAGCCTTTGAACTGCTATGGATTTACTAACAAGTTGTATCTGTGGAGCTGTTGTGATGTCAGTTGTAAGCAAGATAATAAATTAGCACATTGTGCTAATTTCTTTTTTTTTTTTTTTTGTCAGTCGTGGGGCTTGAACTCTGGGCCTGGGCTCTGTCCCTCAGCTCTTCAGCTCAAGGCGAGCGCTCTACCACTTGAGCTACAGCGCCACTTCCGGTTTTCTGGTGGTTTATTGGAGATAGGAGTCTCTTGGTCTCTCCTGCCCAGGCTGGCTTTGAACCGCGATCCTCAGATCTCAGCCTCCTGAGTAGCTAGGATTACAGGCGTGAGCCACCAGCGCACGGCTGCTAATTTCTCATATAGAAAATTACCATAGTAACCATGTTCACTATTCAATAGAGAATGATGTGTTTTTTTCTTTTCTTTTCTTTTGTTGCTCATGTGTCTTGCAGTTTGGGCCTGGGTGCTGTCCTTGAGCTTTTACACTCAAGGCTACCATTATACCATTTGGAGTGCCAATTCCAGTTTTCTGAGGGTTAATTGGAGACAAGAGTCTCACAAGCTTTCCTGTTTGGGATGGCTTTGAGTGATGATCCTCACATCTCAGCTAGGATTACAGGCATGGGTCACTAGCAACTACCTGACTAACGGTATTTTAAGGGAGAAGCTCTATATCATTGACATTATTTAGAGCTTTCAGCTCATTATGCTATGGAAAAGCATAATGCACAGCCCACTTCATTCTGTTATTTTACATGATGGATGCTGATTTTTTACAAATACAAGAACAATAATTATTTTGCCTCAACATATTCAAAACTAGACAGCTAAGCAAAAAATAAATAAAATTACTTGAAGCTTTATGATTTGCTGGGTTTGGATGAAATATGGTATTCCTTTCAGAAGTCATTCATACAAAACTTCAAATAGAATTACTATCAGGTCAGGCTTTCAAGAGTGTCAGGATGATACCTTTGCCTGAAATCTTGAAGATTTTCTCAAGACAGAGATGGCACGGGAGATGGTGCAGAAACATATTTTTGACTGCTCTGCTGAGCAGTTGCATAGGATGCAGAGGTAGGCCTGGACCTTGGAAGGCATTTATGCGATACAGAAACAAGAAGTGATATTGTGGACTAGTACAGGGCCACAGCCCTTTAGTATATCCTGGTTTATAGAATTCTGCTCAGAAGAAGAGGGTGCTAGAAGAAAATAGATTGGGAGGCGGGGTTTGAAGACCCAAATAAAAGCCAGTTTTACACAAGACTATTAATAGGTAAGGTAGAAAATCAAAGGATATATATTATGGAAGACTGGTATACAACCACAGCCAGTTGTGTTGGAAGCCCTTAGTGAAATTTTAGGGACTTAGCTAAGCATCAGTTTTCTAGATTTCAAGAATGTCATTGAAGGCTTGTTTTCTGTGCCCGTGAGGGTAACTTAGTCTTGCCTATCTCAGTGTCTTTTGGGGCATTAAAATAGCACTTAATGCGTATGGTTGCTGCGAGCCAAGAGCACAGTTAGCACAGCCTCGAGGGTGTATTAAGGTATTGCAATAAAAATGAGTTTCAATCTTCATCATGTATATATTCTCCATGTACATTTTATCCCCAACATTTTCAGTTAAAACAAGATTTTTTTAATTGAATTTGAGCTTTATTTGGGATAAATAAAAGTAGTTACCGTTAGAGCTTCTTAAAACATTAAAAATATAAACTGTCTAATAGCTATTTAATTATGATGAATACTCTGCCACTAAGTGCATGAGGTTATACTGTACAAAGTTCAGCTGTACTGATGATTAATAATAACCATAGAAGCAAAGCCACTTGTTGAAGTCCCCTACCAACCTTGAGATGTGTGTGTGTGTGTGTGTGTGTGTGTGTGTGTGTGTGTGTGTGTGTGTGTGTGTGCATGTAAGCTATGTACCAAGCCCTGGCTCCAAATCACAAATGAGTTGAACCAAAAGTGAACCAGGAGTCCCTTCTGAAAGTCAGGATGACATGCTCTTGGTTTCTCAGGTGCACTGGAAATCTAAATTTGCCCCTGAAGTGCATTTCATTTTGAATACAGGAGGGGAATTTTGGAAATAAAATTATCTGTTGCAAGAAAGAGGTGCAGAACACCTTCTACGTATCTGTATCTGGTATCCTAGAACATGTGTGCCATCTGCAAAGTAGAAAATTCCTGTGTTTACTCTATTGCACGGAGGCCGGGCAAAAAAGAGGAGGGCACCAACAGCACCACCTTGAATTGCTTCGTCCCTCAGTGCAGTGCTGCAGTTCCTCCAATGCTAACACCACGCTGACTTCTTTAGGTTGACATATGAGTATTATAATAGTTATGCATTAAGAACATTGATATTCAAAGCAAACAACCTACGTTGTAAAGTGTGTATGTTTTATATTGATTGGTTAAAGTCATGATTATCCTGAATAAGATAAAATGTGTAGCTATGAGCTATCTTATTCGATAGGAGGGGATCTACACTGATCTAGAATGTTCCAAACATGTTTTACTCATTAATGTTCAGTAATGCTCTGAGGCAGATGTATGACTCAGAAGTTAAGAATCTCTTTTTATGTTTGCAGAATGGATCAAAAACCTAATAAATACAAGTAGGAAGTAGAAATTAATTTAAACGAATACCAGAAAGGCTACATGTGGTAATAAAAGAAATTCCTAAATTAAAACACATCCCCAAGAGGGATGAAGAAGGAACACGTAATAACTAGAAATTAAGCAAAATTTAAGCAATGCTTTTTTTTTGGGGGGGGGGGGTCCGGTCATGGGGCCTGAACTCTGGGCCTGGGTGCTGTCCCTCAGCTCTTCACCTCAAGGCTAGCGCTCTACCACTTGAGCCACAGCACCACTTCCGGATTTTTTCTTTTTGCTTATGTGGTGCTGAGGAATCAAACGCAGGGCCTCATGCATGCAAGGCAAGCACTCTACCACTGAGCCACCTTCCCAGCCCCAAGCAATGCTTTTGAGGGAAAATTGCCATCATGATGGAACTACTGTGATCTGAAAAAAAAATGTTGATGATTGCCAAATGGAGTTACAGTACCTATGTGTGAGAGCCCAGAGAGGTTAATGCTTTAGTGAAGAGAAGCATTTATTTACAGGTTATCTTCCTACACTTTGAGCTTACCTTTCATTTTCTTACTTGCATTGTATTAGCCTAAAGTGACCTTTACAGAACCATCAAGTTTTTTTTAAATTATTAATCTTGCTCTTCCATTTTGAACCTAAAGCACATAGTCAACCAAGGTTGTTTAGATTCTGTTTAAAAAGTGGATATTTAATTAGTGCCACCTTTGTAAACACACCATGTTTAAATTGATTACATTTGTTACACATCACTTCCAACTCTGCCTTCAGCAACTAAATCACTCTTCCTCATCAGCCTTCATTTATGGCTTATTATAGCATCAAGAGGAAATGAAACTCAGTCACACCCATTTAATTTCCTCTCAGAGGGCTCTCAAGTTCAGTTGCTAGGATGATGGTGTTTGCTTGTGATGTGGAGCAGCATTTTACAAAAGTGAAAAGTTCAATAGGATTATACAAGGTGACAGGAACACGTTGTTACAGTCTAGACATCATGGCCATGCTTCAGCCTTAGTCCCAAAGGTTTACATTTGGATATTATATGGTTCCTTAACTTATCTACTAGCTAACACTTTTCCCCTGTCATTCTTTTTATTTCTCTTTCCCCGTCCCCAACTATTCCTGGCAGGTACTAAGCACAAAACTATGCTAGAAGCCAGGAATGGCAGTGGGACTATCAAAGCCTTTCCTCGGGCAGGAGTAAAAGGCAAAGGACCTGTCAACAAAGGAAACACGGGGCTGCAAAACAAGACTTTCCACTGTGAAATCTGTGATGTGCATGTCAACTCAGAAACCCAACTGAAACAGGTAGGCAGGGCAGATGGTGGGAATGTAAGCAAAGCAGCCCTGCCCCCTCCCCCCCACAAGCAGGATACATGTGCAATCTTTCTTCCTTTCCCTTCTGTAATTCTGCTCCATCCTTCCATCCATCCCGCCATCCACCCATCTGCCTACTCACCCCCTTGTCCTCTTTTATTTTATTTTATTTTTATTGTGAAAATACTGTACACAGAGGGGTTACAATTACATAGGCAAGATAATGAGTACATTTCTTATCAAGCATTGTAGCCTTCTCCTTTGTTTCCCTTTCCCATCCCATCCTCCCCCCCTCCACCCCCCTATCCATCCTCCCTGCTTCCTCCCCCCCACACCAAAGTTGTAAAGTTCCTTTTCCACATAACGACTTATACATTTCATTGTTGCAATGGGTCCAGCTGTATCCTTATTTAAACGATTTATTTTTCCTCTTCCCCTCCACAAATTATACCGAATCAAATACAGTGAAAGCAGGGGTTATATCGTGGGGGAGGGGCATACAAAGCAACAAAGAAATAATCTTATAAATGTGTTAGAAACAATCACATGAAAGAAAAAAAACATTTGAATACATATCTTAGGGTTCATTTTCCTAACATCACCTTATCTGACCTTTTCTGCTTGACTCAGACATATACTAGATATTGCAAATAAGGGAAACCATGGGACCTATGTTTCTTTGGGCCTGGCTTACTTCACTTAATATAATTTTTTCCAAGCCTTTCCATTTCCTAACAAATGGGGCAATGTTATTCTTTCTGATGGACACATAGAATTCCATTGTGTATATATACCACATTTTCTTGATTCATTCATCTACTGAGGGGCATCTGGGTTGGTTCCATATCTTAGCTATAGTAAATAGTGCCATCTAATCTTCGATAAGGGAGCTAAAAAAATAGAATGGAAGAAAGACAGCCTCTTCAGTAAATGGTGCTGGTAAAATTGGTTAACGACTTGTAGAAAACTAAAGCTAGATCCTTATATATCACCCTGCACCAGAATCAACTCCAAATGGATCAAAGACCTCAGAGTCAAAGCAGACACTGAAAACATTACAGAATGGATTAGGAGAAACCCTAAGTCTCCTTGGCACAGGCCGAAATTTTCTTAATAGAGACCCAGAAACACAACAAATCAAGAAAGGCTGGACAAATGGGATTGCATGAAGTTGCAGAGCTTCTGCATGGCAAAGGACATAGCCAGCAAGATCAATAGAAGGCTCACGGATTGGGAGAAGATCTTCACTAGCCATACAACGGACAAGGGTCTCATATCTAAAATATACCTAGAACTCAAAAAATAAATCCCCCAGCAACAAATCCTCAAAGAAACAACTGCCCAATAAACAAGTGGTCTAAAGACTTAAAGAAAAACTTCTCTGAAGAGGAAAGAAGGATGGCCAAAAGACACATGAAGAAATGCTCAATCTCCCTAGCCATAAAAGAAATGCAAATCAAAACAACATTGAGATACTACCTCACTCCAGTTAGAATGGCTAAAATCAAGAACTCTAAAAACAACAGATGCTGGAGGGGATGTGGACAGAAGGGAACCTTACTGCATTGTTGGTGGGAGTGTAAACTTGTTCAACCACTTTGGAAAGTAGTATGGAGTTTCCTCAAAAGACTCCACTTAGAGCTCTCCTATGACCCAGCAATCCCACTTTTGGGCATTTACCCAAATATTTACAAACAAGACCACACTAAAGCTACCAGCACGACTATGTTTATTTCTTTTTTTTTTGAGGGAAGACAATTTTTTTTTATTGCACCCCCTTGTCTTCTATCCACTGCCCTTTTTTGTGTATATTAATTTGCCGGAAAATGCAGTGGCTTCTAGGATCTCTTGAAAGTTCTTGGCAGGGAGTTTGTACTATTCCGGTGTGTATGGAGTAGGAGGAGACAGTTATCCAATCTTTCCTCTATCATATTTCCCATTCAAATGTATTAACTCTCATTAAAGGTCAACTTACCATGTTCCGTTTCTATGTGTTTTGCTATTTCCATGCTGCAACTAATTTTGTGCTGTGCTACTCTCTTATTGTGTGTAGTTTATTACATGGTATTGTGCTGTAGTTCTAAATCCTGCAACCAGCTGCTAAAAGGGATGACTAATCACATTGCATTCAATTCTATACTGAATAGCCTTCTAAACATGTCAGTGGTATATTTCCAGTGGAAGGCCTAGCCTTCGTATTGTGTTGTGTTTTATATATATGTGTGTACAGGATTTTGCTGATTTTATGCACCTTGGTTATTTATCTTTAGAATTTGAAGGGCTGACATTTGGCTGTACAAATGTGAGGATAAATATTGGTATGGAAATAAATTCATGCCTTCCTGGGCATCTTTGTTTATTTGCACATAAAATTCTTTTAGACATGCCTTTCCTTTGTGAACACTTTTCTAAAAATGGATATGTGTTCAGGGAGAAGGCAAAAAGCTGGGGGGGGGGGGGTTGGAAGATCCTTCTAGTTGTTAAAAATATTTAAAAATGAATAGTTATGCTCTGGGCATCAGAATGCAAGGGCACAAGTGTGTGCCTTTTTAAAAAATTTGTCTTTCTGAAATGTGCATGAAATAATGATTATCTTTCTCTAGGTTAAAACAATATTTGTGAGAGTTTTTGTAGATACCCTTTTTTAAGCTGTCACTGTATAATTGCATTTAATAGCACATTAGCAGTCGAAGGCACAAAGACAGAGCGGCTGGAAAGCCCCCGAAACCGAAGTATAGTCCCTACAACAAGCTTCCTAAGACAGCACATCAACTGGGGGTGAGTGACATCTTTCTTTCCCAATAGATAACATGCTTTCTGTAATGTCCACAGTCTGTGAGAATATACTTTTTGGAAAGGGGTGGGGAGGGGAGAATGTCAGTCAATAAGTGGAGTAAATGTACCTAAGATATCACAAATTGATTTTAATGAGATCTCGATACCACCATTGGCCCAATGATTTATGTCAAGCCTTTGCCCCATTTTAGCCACAGCTTAGTGTCTTACCTATTTGCGTTCAGATCCATCATTGAGCACAGCCAAGGGAGAAAAGATCAGATTCTTTCAATTCTCTAAGGGAGTCACCTTGTGAAATCTGGTCTTGATGTGAGTGATGATGATAATCAAGGTAGAAGGTCAATAAAATACAACTTCTTGAATTGTCTTTAGAAGACTTTCAAGACAAAACATTGCTATTGTACTCTCAATGGTTTGAGATGTTCAAAATACAGTCTCAAGAGGATGACGTTGTTTTACTTAATCCTTCATCCAAGGGAACTATAGAAAGCCTGGACAAATATATCCTGCAGAATGCCCTCTTTCATTACTCCAAAGTATGCCTTGTAGATGATACGGTGTCCTTGTGTAGAGATGACTAGGGTTATTTGGGAAGGAATCAGGGAGGATTGAGGAAACCTTCCAACATTGTGTGTATAACCTATGACTGGTTAAAGGGACTATCATTTCTATCAGACTCGGTCCTCAGTGAAAACTAAGGATGCTGGATTGTGCATTTTGAAATCTGTCTTTCTCAAATAGATCTTTTCATAGTTGGTGCTGTTGTGTACATGGACACGTGAAAATATAGCTATAAGAAAGCTGTAGTCATTAATTAGAAGATGCTCGTGTCAGTATTCTCTATTTTTATGCAGATGGAACCACTTTTTTAAAAAATAGCAATAGATTTAGCTGCAGAGGAGAATGTGAGTTCTGTGTGGAGCTGGTTTTTCAGCACCGTAGTCCTGTCTTAACCAGCATAGAAGTGGCTGAAGTTTGTAAGTGAGTAGAGCACTCAAAATCCAGTTAGTCTTTAGAATCTCCCTCTGGACTGTGGCCATGTTACTGCTTGTAGAAGTGGAAACATTCTCCCCAGAGAGAAGTATCTTCTTGACTTCCTAACCTGGAAATATTGTTTGTTATAATAAAGCAGGATGGAGAAGAGGTGGTGAGTATTTGCATAGAGACAAAGGGGAAAGTGTCAATATTTGGAGAAGTGTTTACTCTTTGTTGAAGAAGTTTTTTGTTACTATTTGGTATTTCCCTTGGATTTTAGACAGGAGGAAATTGCCTTGTCTGTGGTGCCTGCTCAGTGTATGATTGAAAACAACAATGAACCTCTTTTTTTAACCAGGGTCTGCTCTGTGATGGTTAACAAATGTGTCAAGGGTGGCACAAATTTTCTCTATACTTTATATTTCATTTGATCATCTTTTCTTGGTCATTTATTTTATTTTATTTTTGTGCCTGTCCTTGGGCTTGAATTCAGGGCATGAATGTTGCCCCATGAACTGTCCATGCTCAAGGCTATTGCTCTACCAATTGAGACACAACTCCAGTTCCAGCCTTTTGGTGATTAATTGGAGATAAGAGTCTCAAGAACTTTCCTGACTGGGCTGTCTTTGAAACACAGTCCTCCTGAGTAGTTAGGATTACAGGCATAAGCCACTACTTAAAAATAAAAAGATGAATACTTTCCTCAGCAAGTATAATTTTCAACTTAAATAAGATTCCCAGGTCCTTCTCTAGAGGATTCTTTAGCATTGCTGGTTGGCCATTTTCAGCTCTCCCGCTCTTCCAAAGGGAAAAATGTTGTTCAAGGCCTTTTATTTTCTTTATTGTCAGTTCAGCAGTTTGACTTTATGATTGTAGCGGTTCACTGCTTTGTGTGCGTGCGTGCACACGCGTGCACATGAGTATGCCAGTAGTGGAGCTTGAACTAAGAGCCTAGTGCTCTCAATTAATTAAGTTACTCAAGGCTGACCTTCTACCACTTTAGCTACACCTCCACTTCCAGCTTTCTGGGGTTAACTGAAGAAGAATCCTTTGCATTTTTCTGCCCAGGCTGGGTCTCTAGCCATAATCCTCCAATCTCAGCCTCCTGAATAACTAAGGTTACAAACACGAACCATCAGTCTATATCACTCCGTTGTATTTCTAAGTCTACTTATCATTTTGACTAATGACTACAGATTCCCAAACTCTTATTCTCATCCTTCTTTAATTTTTCCTTACAGGTAAAATTAGTGTTTTCAAAAGAACCTTCAAAGCCATTGGCTCCCCGAATTCTTCCCAACCCCCTCGCTGCCGCAGCAGCTGCTGCTGCTGTGGCAGTGAATTCTCCCTTCAGTCTTCGAACTGCTCCTGCAGCCACTCTGTTCCAGACCTCTGCCCTGCCTCCTGCACTTCTGCGACCAGCGCCAGGACCCATTCGGACCGCCCATACTCCAGTACTGTTTGCTCCTTACTGAATTCCAAACTGGAGTCGTTGTACTGCAATAATTTTTCACAAAACGAAACAAAAGAGAACTATGCAGTGTTTATTTATAGTTTAAAGCATATCTGAAGAGCCAGGACTTTTGATAGTGAATTGAAAAGATTATTTAAAAAAGGGAGGGGCTACTCAAGGGTGGGAGGGAGGGAGTGGTATTTTCTCCAAATTAAAGCATTCCTCTTGAATCACTGATTGTTTTAGACGTGATCTCCAGCATTGACTTGTAGTGGTATCTAGAACTTTCAAAGCCTTTGTGACTGTGCTTTTGGGCACTGATTTTCCCCTGCATTGTCTTTTCTGCTTTATGAAACAACTATAATTGTCTAAGGGCATTAACTGGTTCCAGTGTGTATATAGTAATTTACTCTGTAGATTAAAATAATATGAAAAAGCTAAAAAACAAGAACAAATAAAAAAACACAAACAAAAACAAAAGCAACACTGTGAATAGTAGTACCCGTGCTGGTCCTCTGGCTATGACAGCAGTTACTGGGTATTTATCCCAACAAAAGTAGATACAGTAGATGTCTTGTAAAACAAATAGTGCTGTGTCTCACTCTATGCCATTAGGTTTTAAAGAATTGCAAAAGTTAGAATGATCTATTTCATACCAGTAATCAGTAATAAGAAAAATTAAATAGACACTGTACAGTGTCATGGAGATGTCTCTAATCAGCCTTCTTCCTTCACATCTAGCTTGTTAGAACGGGGCTATGTCAGGGGTGGGAGACAAGAAGAAAGGTAATTAATTTCTTACCATATACTAGTTTCCCACCTCAAGCAAGTATTCCTGGAAACATAGAAGTGCTTATAATGAACTTGCATTTGGAAACCGACATAGCTTTGGTAGACAGAAATCAGTATGACTATGCTGTTTCAAAGACAAGGAACAATCAATCTGAGATGAGAAGGAAAAGAAAAGATCTTTCATGTTAGTACATAGCTAATAAAAAACACGAACATTGCAATCCTTCAGTATTCACTTTATATCATACCAGTAGGATTGTCTCAAAGGTTTCTGTTTGAAGTATGATTCTAGACTTAAGCATTAGCAATTGTTGTGACCTTATTGTTTTTGACTCTTTCTTTAATACTTCCTACTGACATGATATAAGCAACTAATATATATTTAACTATTAAGAACAAAATAAATGAATCTGAGTTACTTGCACACCAGTGATCACAGCGTTAAAAAAAATTAGTGGTTAGATTCACTAGGACATCATTTCTCCAGTGGAGTGTTGAGGTAATACTGACTGCCTTTGAAATTCACTATAAAGCTAAAAGGAGTTGATGTTTTACCTTTAAAACAAGATTTATCAGGGGTATCTATAAATATATGTATATTGTATATATGTTAGAAAGACTAAGAGAATAACTTATAAAAAGAAAAATCTATATAAAACAATTATATAACCATTCAGTGTTCCATGTTATCATTAAGTTGGTAACGGATGGCGTAAAATTGTTGTGCCTTTAATTTGTGATAAAGGCTCTTTGCTTTTTTTTCCCCCATAAAAAACTAATAGGTACCTATCTATATGGTGGGGTTTGATGCAGCTAATCTGTTGCATTAATTAGAACAATGATGCTCAAACTTAAAGCAGGGACAAAATGAGCATAAACCAATCCTAACTGATTTAGGTTTAAAGAAAAAAATATTTTTGAAAAGGTTTTGTAAAGACTATTTAAGCATATAGGGGAGGGTTGGGTATGGCCTTCCTGAAACTTCTCTTGTCTAAACTGTAATAACACTGAGAGAGATAGAAGGAATCAAGATGAAACCCTTTGAGAGATAGGTATTTAGCATTTTTCATTTTATATTTACAAAACACCCATAGCGTGCTTGGTGCTCAATAGGAAACATGGTCTCCGGAATACTTTACTATCTAGTGATAGAAATTCATCACAACAATGTATCCTTCAAGCAGTTGGCTTTATCTATCATTTGTTAACCAATCAACCTAAACAAAAGAAAAAGAGAGAAAGGAGAGGGGAAAAAGCAAAGGAATAAATGAAAAGAAGGATAAAGGAAGAATAGAGAAGATAAGAAAATACATTTTATCATTCTTCTGGTAAAAAAGAATTTTAAGCCATGACTGTGGTTAAATACATTGGTTAGCATTACAATTTTATTTGGAAAATAACTAGTTTTTATTTAGCAATATCTTTATTCTTTTGGTTTAGAAAAATGTTCCTTTCCTCTAGCCCTTGCTAATTCAGCTAGGTAGGTAGATATCTAGTTTGCCTATGAGTTTGTTCCTTTGAGCTCTGTATGTATCCCATTTGACTAGCTTCTGATGATATTGGACTTTAATGTCCTTCTCCTACTCTGTCAAATATTTTGATCTTTTATTTCAGTCATCCTGAATCCTTATCCAACAATTTTCCCCCAGCTGATATTGGCCTCTCTGTTGGAGAACTTAGGTGTTAATTGATGTAATCTTGTTGCAATGTACTTTTGCTGTTCTTCACCATTTTCATTAAAGTGATTGAGCCAGTCCACCAGAAGTCAGGGCCTGTGGGACACACAGAGCCCTGGTCACAATGTGTTACTAAGTCATGATTTGCTGGGAACAAACAAAAATCAGCCATATTTTCTCCATCAGCCATATGAGAATACTCAGAAATACCTGGATCCCTTCTGCCTCACTTCGCTATGGAACCGTTTTTGTTTAAATGGTCTCTTAAATTGAAGTTGTAAGCATTGGTTGTCTTTTATTCACTACCTAATAAAGGATGAAGCCTAACCATAGAACATACAATGGATTTACTGTGAATTGTTTTACCCACACCACCCATTTATTATTTATTATTTAGACTACTATAAGGCAATACACTTTCCCCTTGGGATCTTTGTTCATGAATAAAGATTAATAATTCAAAATGGTCAGAAGTGGTGCTATGAAAATTCCCAAAGGTGGTCAGACTCCATGTTTCTTTATCCCTTCCCATGGGTCATAAAGGCAAACGACAGGTGAACATCTTTTATTTCAATTTGAGACAAATATAAATGCATTGTAAGAGGCGAACGCCTCTGGAGAGAGCATTTTTTCCCAGATTATCCAGACACATGGGGAACCGTTGTGGGGAGGTTCTGTATTTCTCCTTTGAGAAAACAGGTGATTACTCATGACAGATTGTACCTCTAACTCATTCTGAGCTTTGAAGGGTTGCTGTTTTAGTCCTATAAGCAAACACAGTTGGCTTTTGGCAAGTTGTATTGCCATTGGCTCATTTGAAAGGATTGCTATTTTTACCTTCTCTTAGGGTTCTCTGAACAGTTGCAATATTTCAATTCTGTTATCATCAGGGATCTAAATCTGTTACCAAGGACCTATTTAAGAAGACAGTATTAGCCTGGAGCCAGTGGCTCATGCCTGTAATCCTAGCTACTCAGGAGGCTGAGATCTGAGGATCACAGTTCAAAGCCAGCCTGGGCAGGAAAGTCTTTAAGACTCTTATTTCCAATTAACCACCAGAAACCTGGAAGTAGCACGGTGGCTCACGTGGCAGAGCGTGCGCCTTGAGCTGAAGAGCTCAGAGATAGTACCCAGGCCAAGAGTTCAAGCCCCACAACTGACACAAAACAAAACAAAACACACACACACACACACACACACACACACACACAAACCACTGGTCCTGTTAACCTGGAAAGAGAAGTGTGGTTCAAATGGTAGCACAATATCCTTAAGGGAAAAGCCACAGCAGAACATGAGATGTTGAGTTCAAGCCTAAGTATCACCTTCCTCCCTTATGGAATTTAAACTCAATTGGAAATCAAGAGGAGAAATCGTAAAGGTAAGGATTAAGAATTACAAGACAATAATATTGTAAAAATAATATCAAAGCATATTATGGATGTGTCCAGATGAATTTATAAATCACAAATCTAATACCTAGTTCACATGGATTAACTTTCACATGTTACTAAACTGTAAATATCTTTTGTCTTTCTGCCCATGCCATGTTTCAACCTTTCTGAAGAAATCAGATTGAAAAAAAAGTAAAAAGCGAATTGATGCCTAGAACTAGCTACTTTTCTGTTCAGAGAAGTGGTAGGATTGTGTTAGTTACTCATTGTTTGCAAGAAAGCAATGAGCCTGAAGGAAATCCATTTTAGGAAGAGAAATACTTGGTGTGAGGACAAGGAAAACTGTGTGAAGATCTTGCTGCAATTACCATTATGTCCACCCCCTTAGAAAGCACTCACCCCACAAGCCCAGGAAAACAAGAACAACTATTATTCAACAGACCTCTTTCTAGAGAGTCAAGAGCATTTATGTGGTATATGTAAATGTGTGTGTGTATGTGTGTGTGTGTGTGTGTGTGTGTGTGTGTGTGTGTGAAACCAATATATTGAAAAGAAAATGATTTACCAAAGCCTTGCAATAAATGACAGATATAAAAGTTAAGGGCACTTATATTTTTTTAAAAATTCTTAAAAATTATATATATTCATATTCTGTGGTTAATGCATATATATAGACATATACCTTAGAATTGGTCACTACTATATAATTACTTATAGGAGAAATTATACTTGTTTGCTCACAAGTTACTTAAGTCTCACTCTAGAAAAATGCCTTCTGAGTTGATCTCTTACTCATGGAGAAAATAGGTGCCATTCTCTATGTTCTCATTTTTTTATTTTTTGGTCCAGTCATGGGGCCTGAACTCTGAGCCTGGGCGCTGTCCCTCAGCCCTTCAGCTCAAGGCTAGCACTCTACCACTTGAGCCACAGCGCCACTTCTGGCTTTTTTTTTTTTTTTTTTTTGCTTATGTGGTGCTGAGGAATCGAACCCAGTGCCTCGTGCATGCAAGGCAAGCGCTCTACCACTGAGCCACCTTCCCAGCCCTCTGTGTTCTTATTAAACTTGATCAGACATCATGGTGCTCAACTTGATCATTTATAGTAATGACCAGTTTAAACTTCAGATGTGTTCAGCCATTTGTAAATTCAACCCAGCCATACTGGGAAGATGAATTTCCATCACTGAAAAGGGAAAAAGGACAGACTGAAAGTATTCCTCAGTTCTTTTGAATGTGAATGTTGATGACTCTTGCAGGGAAATACTTTTATGCTCATGACCTGTATGAACTGTAT